CCAATAACAACACAGTATATATTTATACTATTAAGAAGTATAAGTAAAAGCCTTTTAATTTTGACTATTGAAAAAAATAATATATTTAAATTCTGACAGCACCTCACATGGAACTGGCCATTAAGAAAACCATCAAGGAAGTACAACTGTATGAAATGGTGGATAAGCTTATTGATATCTTTCCTTTCTATCACCAAAGGTCATGTAACAGGGGACTATTGTAGACAACTGCTGAAGCCATAGGGGTGAAGAGATTCATCACAACAAGAACTGGTGCCTAAAGATAGATTGGCTACACACACATGCACATAGAGCACTGGACAACCTGTTCTATAGTTATAAAGTATTCATTCAGCATCTCCTAGAGGTTAGCTTTCCTCATTTTTTTTTTAGGACTGCCACTTTCTCAGCCTAATAAAGTTGTTACTAATATATTCAGTAGATTATCTCAGGCTAAAGTCTAGCAGACTAGCATAGTAATGTGTTTTTTCAAGTATAAGATGACCCCAAGAACAGTACTAAGAACAAAGGAAAAAGTACTGGTTTTTATGAACATCATGTTTGAGCACTTTACCCTTCACTGTCCTTGCGATTCTCAGTCGTTATTCAGTCACATTCCAGAGTTGAACCAACAACAATCATAGACTAAATCTTTCACTATGGGTAGGTCAAAATGTGCATGTTACAGTTTTCATAAAGTTATATTCAGAATTTAATCAAATTATTTTATCATCAATGTATATCAATAAACTTGGTATCAAAACATAGTTTACAGTTCAAGTTTTAATATTATATATATATTTGGATTTCTTAATTTCTAAAGGATATATATATATATACATAAATAAATGCTTAAGCTTCATTTTCTGTATGCATAACACTTCTTCAGTCCAGACTGCCAATTTCAACATTTTCTGCTATCCCTATATGGCCTTGTAACTTTCTGTGGAATGTCTCATATATACTATAAAGTTTCCTGAACAAAACTGAAAATTTGTAGATAGAAAGCTTCTTCCTTTATAGAGGTACAAGCAAAAGTTCTTGTCCCCAGTAAGGGAAGAAGTTTAAGTTTAATCTAGCAAAAGTAACCATCACCAGTGATGAGAAAATATTAAGTTAATCTATCAATTTAAATTATTTCATAGACTATAAAAAGTTAATTGTGTTGCACTCTTGGTTTCACTCAGAACCAAAGCTCTGAGCTACTTATATTGCCCATCACAAAAAGTAATTGTTGAGCATTTCAGTCATGCTAAGAGACACTCAACAATAACATACGGTAAATCTACATTTTTATTCATTAAGTTACATCACATTTTGAAATGTGAATGATAGAGTGATTAATTCCTAACAATTTAGTGTAGAATATCCTACTTGTAAAATAAAATTTGTCATCAACAATATTCATATCTGTTCTCCCATCATTTCAAAAGTGAATGTTGAGCTTTGCCGGCATGCACATCTTTTCAAATGGGAGACAGACGAATGCTCGAACAGATGCCACAGTTCTCAATATATATATAAGATAAGCAATAAAGTAAAGGTCACATGCTACACCTTCCACAGAGCACCCTGCTTTCAAAAATTGTCATAAATTCTCTCTGATATTTACTACTGTATTATTTTTAACCAATAGCAAGCAAAATATTCATGTAACTGACAGGTATTGGGTCTAAAGGACTTGGACTAAAAAGAACATTTTGGTATAATATTCCTTGTATGCCACTTTTAAGCTCTGCTTGAACTGGTATTGGGATTAATCTAAGCCATTTTTATCTTAGTTGGATTATTTTGTATTCTAAATTGGATAATTGAATTTTTCGAAAAAATAGCATCTGAGACCACATTATCATTATATTGAATTAGGGTTAAGTTTGATGTTAGCTTGGACTGTAAAAGTACGAAATCTTGAAGGAGACATGATTTCACATGTGAGTACTAAATTTCTTATTTTTTCTTTATTATTGTAAAAGTAGCTAAAATGTAAAAATTAGAAACTTATTATACATAATTTTAAATTAAATAAACAAAATAAACTTAATCAATGATAGTATGCATTGTTGTACAAGTGGAATTCCCATACAGCCACACTGCAAATTGCAGGCACCCAACCGAAATGTTTAAACAATTTCCATAATAATTGGTGTAAAAGTGAAAGTTTTGAAAAGTATGTGATAATATTTAAACCTTCTAAACCCTTAAGATTAATAGGCTTATAATTATCTGGACAATATTTATCACCTCTCTTATAAAATAAAGAAGTAACATTAGCCAACTACCAGCCCTTTGGTACCTGCTCACTACTCAAGGACTTACCAAGAAAGGATACTAAATTATTGGAATGGGTTCAGAAGAGAGCTAATAGGATGATTTTAGGAGTGGAATGTTTGTCTGGTGGGGATAAGTTAAAATCTCCTAACATACTTCCTCTTCCAAAATAAAAGGTAAGAGGTGATCTCAGTGAAGTTTACAAGAGTAACTGGAGAATGGATAGGATAAAAGCCTCTGTTCCTTTGTGCTGTATTCTGAAGAAATGGGATGAGAGATGTAAGTTTGATTTGGACACTTTTATTTTTTATCATAATGATTAGCTTATGGAAATAGTTTCTACTGGCAGTAATGAAAACTGGAACTTTACAGGAGTTTAAGGGAATCAATAATTTCATGAAAAATAAAGGTTAGGCTTAAAATATATATTTTTACTTTTCTTTTCAACAAAGTAGGTGTGCAAAGACAGTCTTGAAGGATAAAATAGTCCATTGTTGTCCATGCATTATCAATATATATAAAAGTGAAATTTGTTTGTTTGCTAGCTTCTCGTACACTATTTGACCAATTTCCACCAAACTTGGCATGGTGACTCCTACAGCCCCCTGAAAAAACACAAAGGGGTCAAAATTCCCACCAGGTTTCCAACAAAAAAAGGCACACATCTGATTTTGCCATACAACTTGAAACCTATTTTTGTATTTTTCTATAATATTTTAACCCCATTCGTTCCTTTCCTCTAAACGGTGGGGAAATTCTACTGTAAAAGAAATTGTCATGAAATTTTATAGTGATAGAACCACTTTTCTAGGTTAATTTTGCTGATGATCAAATATGTCTATTTTTCAATATGAGGCTGAGTGTGCAGTTCACTTTATTGTGGTGTTTTCAGGTTTATGTTTAAAATATAATCATGATCGAGGAGCACATCCATAGAGCTTCCACCCCTAAAATGGTGTATAATATACCAAAAAAAGACACTTCATATAACACTACAATTCACTGGTAAATATACCTTGGAAAACAAACAAGACTCATTACTTTATTGTGCAGTGTTTATCAACAAATATAACCTCAAGTGATCTTTAAATTTTAAGATTTAAGTTAAATCTATCACTAGAATAAGGAACTATTTTGTGTTTACACACAGAATGTGTCAGATGTATTGCTCGAACTTCATCTATATGTATCAATGCTCTGAGTTTTAAAAAGACTGGTAGATAGAATTTCACCACAATCGCAGAGTAGTTTGGCATTTGGCAAAGTGCAGGGAAGTGTCTAGCTTGTTTTAATTTTCAGTAATATTCCATTAACAATCACGAAGTTTAAAATTATTGAACTGTCAAAAATAACTTTGTTTTATGAATTAAAGATTTTGGCCATTAAAACTTTTTTAAAAAATAGAATGCAGTGGACTACTATTGTGCTATTTTTAAAAGTGTAACTGTATTGAACATAATACATTTAAAAAGTACTCATTATTTGTTATAAATAAGGGTAGCTGATAACCTGATGCTCCATACTTAAATATATTGATCACTTCTCTATCAGAAAACTGTGCAGGGAGCTGATATAAAGAACTGATCACTTCCCTTGGTATAAAATTCAATATAAATTATTTTAAGCTCTCATTTGATTATTAACCCTTTAAGAGAAAAGTAATATGTATGCTTAACCTTTAAAATGCCAAGAAAAGCCACATCAAAATCTCTTTCAAAATATAGTTCAGAGGGAAAAATAGAAATATGGAGAAATGAATCATAGGAGGAAAGAGTAGCAAGGCTAAAAGCTGATAGAGCTAGTAAAGCTGATAGGAAGATAAATAAATCACACGGATAAATAGAAGTAAGGCTTGAAGCTGAAACAGTTAGAAGAACTCAAATATGTGAAAAAGAATCTGATGAACTTAAGTAATAAAAAACTTGAAGAAATGAGGGAGGCAGCTGTGGCAAGAAGTTTGAGAGAAACTGAAGAGGAAAGAGATAGAAGAAGAGAAAGAGAGTGAAGAAGACAAGGATTACACTTAGCAGCTCATTACTGATTCTCAATGTGGTATATCAAGAAGCTTTAATTTAGATTGTGTAATTTTTGTTTTGCAAATCAAAGGTTTAGATAAAAATTAAAATCTGATGAAAATTGAATTTAAAAAATGTTCTTAAAATAAATTTCTTTGTGTGTTTAAATACCTATTTCGAATAACTTGGACACCTGTGCAGGGAACGGGTAATTCAGGTAGTGTTAGTTAAGAGTTAATACCAGTGGAGTCTATATGAACTCCAAAGGCATTTTTAAATACATTTTTCTAAACTATTTATGGACCAAACTGCTTATGGGCCAATGACTTTATTAGTTACAGAGTCCCAAAATAATGTATTAGTCACATAAAATTCCAAACATTATTATTAACATTACAACTACTTCCATGAATTACTGCTGGTATTTTCTATGCATTTCACACAGAAAATAAGCAATTCTAACAAAATGTTTTAAGTCAGTTCTTTACACTGTTATAATAGGCAAACCAAAACTACTAAATATGTTGTAATACATGGACTCCACGTGTAGAGAAAGGCATATAAACAAGTTAGTAATTTTAAGTTTGAGATATTTTCCTACTTAACATAAAAAATTCATAGTTTTAAATTAATTTCTAAAACAAACTTATATTTAAGATTTGGTGTTTAATTTCAAATCTAGGTAATAAGACAATTAAATGAAAATGTATTGCTTACCTTCAGTGCTCTGTTTACAGCAGCACAAAATGCCCACCAACCAAAATATGACTTGTTGTTAAAGGATATTTCACATTTTTTATTTTCATCGTCTCCCCAAAATGAAAAGTTCAAAGAATCAGTGAAAAAGATCCAGTCAATAGCTTTATTATCCATTGTTTTTGGATTGAGTTCATGTTCCTTCCAACTTTTGATGGTGTATTCCTGTTTACTGAAGACTTCTTGAATCTTGAAAATTTAAATTTATGAAAATTATAATTATTACAAATTGCGAATCAAAAGTGGGATAATCATACAAAACAATATTAAAATTATTTTAAAAATTAATATATAAATTAATGAAGACAATCCTGTGCAACAAAATGACTAGAAACACTAAATGTTATAAATCAATAAAATAAAACACTAAAATCTATAATTAGTTTGTACAAATTAAATTCAGAAAACTTGAAAGAATTATATATATATACAGTTCCATAACATGTAGAATATACTACTGATAATTAAAGTAACTAGTGTTAGTATCCAGTTAGAAAATCTATACTGTTTTTTTCATTGAAACAAAACAATAACTACATTATAAACATTGTTCATATAATTGTTAATTAAAAAGTTCTCATAAACACATAACATATTATAAAACAAGAAGTACTCACCATGTAGCATAGTTATTTAACCCTTTAGTCATAACACAGCTCCACAACTTTATAAAGGTTCAATGAAACTACAAGTCATATACTGATCCAACAAACAACTTAAAAGGCAAATAAATGATCATGAAATACTAGCTCCTTTCAAAATATCTGAAGTCTCTGACACAATAATTGTTAATCAGTCTATTCATAGAACTACATCACTTAGTCATATGAAACTTTTTCAATGAAATGTAATAAAAATTATGTATACAACACTAATAAAAAACATGTGAAAAAGTACAGGAATAAAAAAATTAAATATAAGAAACTGGCACAGAAATAGGATATATAACTACAAAGTAACAATTTCTATTTCACTTTTAGTTGTAATTTTAACATTTATGTACTTTGTCTAGTATTATTTTATTCAGCTATATTTTTATTTGCCTTAAATGCTACCTCAGTTGCCTCCACATTAATATGAAATGAGACTTTTATATTGAGATACCAACTCAAGGTCTCCTAGCAGTGTAGTACAGTTACTAAATTCATGACTGACAAATTTTAAGTTGTCAGTCATGTAATATATAATCTTGTCCTTTGGCAAGGAAATGAAAGTCTTAAGATTTGAAGTTAAAAGTGTAAAGAAGAGCTATGCTGTTAAGCTGTGATGATATTATATGAGAACTGTCTAATACTGTTATTGCAAATAATTTAAGTAGATTTTTCTTTCCTGGTTCATTTTTTTTCTTAGTTAATACTGTTATTATTTTGTTCATACTAACAACTTTGAATAATTGCATTTGTTCGATTTGGATATACAGTTATTTTTTTACCAAGTTCTGGCAAGATAATACTGCATTTGTAATTGATTATATTTTGTAAAACTTGTATTGTGTTTAATAAGTCTCACATTCTTCACATTCTGATATTACCATTATTTGATACTTTACAGTACTGACAGTTTTGTTGGTATATAGTTTTATAACATAGCATGATTTGAAATGTATTTATACATAGTTACATACATACGCTAGAATTCTGTCATTTATAATAAAGAATAAATTTATTATAAGAAACCTTATCTGCCAATTTTTTGACTCCGACTGTTGATACTTTAACATCTTGTGCATTTTTGGTAATAAACTCAGCCGATTCTCGAGGAAAAAGCCGCAGCATCTGCATACACAAAACAAGTTTAAATATTCATAAAGGCATTTCCATATTACTCAGAAAATGAGCACGTATTTCTACAACTTACAAAATTTCAAATTCTATATGTAACACAAATATCACTTAAATAAGGAAAGCATTTAATAGGCATAATCCATATCTAAACAAATGAATCAAACTATCAAAACAGAGAGAGAGATAAAAATAAGTTACATACTCAACTAAAAAAAAAAGAGTAAAGAAACTGTCACAAAAGTGTAAAATGCTTAGTATTTATTATATGTAGTTTCATCATTTGCACCAAATTCAAATTTGGTTTTTCTAATTTCACTTGGGAAAATTCACAATAATGATACTGATTTGATATTTGTTTAACAATAAAATATTATAAAAAAGCTTACATGTCAGTTTTTGACTCCCACTGTTTGCGAATGTTTTAACGTTATTAGTAAACAATATTTATTAGTCATGACACACTAAAATGACCAGACATCGGGCAAAAAGAGGACATATCCTCCTTTTTGCCTCATGTCCTTTGCTCAGCAGGCACTTTGAGTATGTTGATATTGTCCAGCATTTTACTTAGAAATGTAAGAATGAAGTTTTACAAAGATATTTGCAAATATGCAGATAGTAACAATCAACAGCTGCTGAGCCACAGCAGAAACAGATGGCTGAAAAAAATAAGTTCATCTGAGAAATACCAAAATTAAGATGAATGCATTATTTTTCTTTAGATTTATTCAATTATTAAACTGTTTCATCATTTATAATTTTTTTCTAACCATTTTGGTTTAGAAAACTTTCATAAGGTGATACTAATAGAATATTTTTGGTCAATTAAGTTGATTAACCCTACTTCTGCATAGACTATGTAAAATTCTCATTTTTTATATTTTTTACAAAAAACATAATTTGTTCTGATAAAAAAATTCCTGATCAATTTCCTTCATTCAAATAAACTTCTTTAAAACTAATTAGCTTTTTCATTTCATGTCCTCCATTTTCACCTTTGTTGTATTCCTATCAATTTCACTTTCAGTACTTTGGTAACCATATGACAAACCCACGTCTTAATTTTGTAAGGTTTATAATAGCAATATTACACACCTTTCCGAGTCCTTTTATTTTAATGTACACGATATACGAAAATACAACATTTCTACAGCAAAGTACAATCTTAAAGATTTTCTCATTTTTTACTAAGACAAGTTCAAATAGTTTAGTTAACTATGACCTAACCACAACAATCGTATTTCCATATGACAATGTAATTAAAAACACACACACTACAGAAGAAAATCAAAATTTCAAACAAAAAATATTACTACTTTAAAAGTTTCATCCTTGTTTAAGCTAATGCTTACTCGTAAGGAATAAATGTATTTTATTGATTTATTTTAAAATATTTTTGTGACTTTAAGTGCTATAGAAACCACTTTAAAATAAACAGAATATCAATATTTAATTAGTAAGATAATAGGTACAAGTTGCTACTGTTTGCTGAAAAGTTTTTCTGTTTATTCAATCCAGCGTTTCCAAACCCGTGGTTCGCGAGAAAAGTTTGGTAATGGTGTCTTTTTTATTTTACTGGTTCTACAGTTCTTACAAATATTTTAATTTCTTTTTAACTCATTAAAATTTCTACTGAAGAAAATGGTTTGATACAGAGCCAGATTTAAGACTATATATATTCTCTTCTGTTGAGCCGAACTTTAAAGCACTGTGTTCTTTAAAACAAGCTTAGAAGTCTCATTAGTTTAGTTAAATGGCTTTGTTTTCAATTTTTTATTACGTTGCAAGATTATAGTTAAATTTTACTGGGTACTAACTGCAAACTGATGACAATATCAGAGACTGATTTTATTGCATACATGTTACATATAATGTGTTACAGAAACTTTTTATCTTCAATAAATTCAACATGTTCAAAAGTTATTTTATCTTACAAATTTTATTACTGCTTAAAAGGGGTTCGCTGCAAAAACTATTATTACTCAAGAAATTCGCGAAGAGAAAATAGTTAGTAACCACTGAATTAATCCATCGCAATGCTTATATGATCCTATCCAGCTTATCCTAGTTATCAACAAAAATAATCTTAAACTACAGGACTTTTGTATATATATATATATATATATGTTCTTCTTAATTAATTTCTAACAAAAATTATACATTACAAGATAATCTATATATATATATATATATATATAT